AGTGAAAGCGGGAACGTGATTCTCTGAGAAGATCGAGAAACCACCATTTTTTTGGGAGTAATGATTCAGTGGACGAAAACGCGAGACGAAAATAGGAAATGACAAGTGATATAAGATTTATGTATGTAATGCAATTACCAATTTAATCCCCTTACATCACTTGTCGTCCCCATTTTCATCTGATGCATCATTACTCTTTTTTTTGGTGGTTTCCTTAACTAATTCCATGGCAAAGGGCAAAATCATATCACATTCTCAATTAACATTTGTCAAGAACGTTGTGGTCAACAGTCACAAAGCAAAAGTGACGTCTCCAAATTGGAAACTTGAGGGCGAGAATTTTAACGCGTGTTGGGCCTGTTGGCTTCATGGCTTGATGTGTATGTTTTTTTTTTTTTTTTTTTTTTTTTTCTTATCATTTAGAAAAAGAGTTTTTTTATTTTATAATTAAAATTGTATAAGATTATAAAATAAAAATTATTAAATAAAGAGCTTTCTTAATATTAAAGAGTCTACCACTAAATAATAATTAGTATTATGCAATTTACATTGCACAAATATTTTTTTTATTTAAAAAAATTATTTAATTTGTACGATCAAGGCACATGTTAAACCTTTTTAATTACAAAATTTATAATTAATTTTACATAAATTTTTATATTCAATTCATATATTTTTATAAATTTTGAGTATAAATATTATATTATATTTTAATTTTATAAAATTTTTTTTAATTAAATTTAATATAAAAATTTATATAAAATTAATTTAAAATATTATATTTAATAAAATTTAACCTATATACTCTACATGTATATATTAAAAAGTTTCTTTTAAAAAATGGTTCTAGGGCTTTGGACCTACTGTTGTCTGCGTGGGTTATGGGCCGATTTGTGTACCCAAAATGGTTTCAAGGCTCTAAGGCCCTACCCATGAATATATTATGGGTCAGCACTTGAGCTCAATAAGCCCAAATGTTGATCCTGGTGTCCGTTTAGGCTGATTCGGTTTGTTTCAGGAGGTGTGCAAGTACGAAAGTACCCTTGTGTTTCCTTCAACCTCACCTGCATGAGACGCCAATTTTGGAAAAGACAGCCGCTGCCGCTCTCAATTGTCGAATACCGGAAAAATATCACAAAGGCACAGGATAGGATGGTATCGGATTCCGACCTGGTGACCCGCCTCCATGAAATCCTACGGGAGACGGACCTTGACACCGCCACTGCCGGCAGCGTCAGGAAGCAACTGGAGGAGGGTTTCGGCGTGGACTTATCAGACCGGAAGGCGTTTGTCAGGGAGCAAATCGACATTTTCCTTCAAAGCCTAAAGAATGAGCAAGAACAGGAAGTAGAAGAATCTGAGTCTGAGGAGCAAATTGCCAAACTTGAAGAGGATGAAACCGCTGCCGTTAAAGAAGAGGAGGACAACGCCACCGTAAAGGAAGAAGAAGAAGAAGAGAGTAACGAAGAGGAAGATGAAGAAGAAAGGTAATTTTATAAAAACTTTTTTTTTTCCTTTGATTTTGATTATTTTGTACTGGACTTTTTTCTTTTTTTTTTTTCTTTTTGTCTTTAATATGGTTTCCTGAGGATAAATTAATAAAATTTATTGCATCAGATGACATGGTTTTAATGAGTAAGGATTAGAAAATCAGAGAATGTTGGGAAACATATAGTGCAATGAATTTTGTGGAATGTGTCAGAAATGTTTTCTGTTTTCTGCTGCATTTGAAGACTTTTACTTCTTACTATTAATATATAAATTTAGGATATATGAGATGAAAGAGTTGCTAGTGTTAGTGAGATTTGTCTGCTGACTGCTGAGAGCTTCCACGTCCAGAAAAACTGCACTTTTGTATCATTCAAACCAACCCTCAATTTTAGATATTAATTCATCATGTTTAGGAAAGCCACTTTGTTGAAATTTTCAATTTCTGCAATTGATCTTCGTATGTCGGTTTTTGGAATGACTACATGTGATAAAAAAAAAAAAAAAGTGCTAGACTTTGTGATACTTCTATATTAATGTTTGGCTGAATATCTCATTTCTGGTATTTATATTGCTGATGATGGTTGTTTCGTATATTTAGTGGGGCAAACAAGGTGGTTAAGGAAGTAAAGAGAAGAAGAGGTGGCTTTCACATGCTGTGTAGCCTTTCTCCACAACTTCAGAAAATTGTTGGAGCTTCTGCATTGCCGAGAACTGAGGTATCTCAAGATGTATATACGTATGTAGATAATAATTCTATTTCATTAATTGCCATTTAATACTAATTAATGCTTGGTTTATTGGTTCCTTGATTTAACTTGTGTCTTCTGCTCTCTGTTGGCTCTAGGTAGTGAAAAAAATCTGGGCATATATACGGGGGAAGAATTTGCAAGATCCAAAGAATAGACGAAATATAATATGTGATGAATCATTGCATGCCGTCTTTCGTGTAAAAACTATTAATATGTTTCGAATGAACAAAGACCTCTCCAAGCACATCTGGCCTTTAAGCTCAGAGGATGGTACTTTCTTTTAGAGGTTATTCTTTGTATCTTTCTGTTATTGTGTGTGGTTTCCTATTTGTTTTATTGATTTCTGCCTTGGTATCTTAAATTGAATTTTATTTGGATGAGTTCAGTTTTTACTTATAGAATCTCTAGGCAAAGGAGTTGGGTTCTGTCTATCCACATTGACCATAGCAGATCACATGTTAAACTTAAACTTATATTTATAAGAGATGATGCATGGATGCTGACAGATAGTTTTGGGGGTAACTAATAAGAAGGAACCTAAGCTTTTTTCTGTATGATTGAGTTTTTTATTTTGATTAATCAAATGATAAACTTTGGTGAATGAACGTTTTGGTGGGATGGCAGACTTTTTTTCTCCTTTATTTAGTATAACAAGTGATAGTTATATTATTTTCATTCTTGTACATCATATTAGATTTACTGTAAAATAGTTCTCTTAATTTAGTAAGTGATTAAATCTTCTTTTTATGCAAACCCATTGCTTTGAATGAACCGAGCCACTAGATGATAGAAATATATAAAAAGATTTGCCACCCGAATCACTTAATAGCTCAAAAAATAACACCCTGTAATACAAGTTCAAGAAATTATTAAATTATGTTGTTGTATCATGCTAGCAGTATCTAAACAAGTGTGTGTGTGTGTGTGTGTGTGTGTGTTTTTTGCTTCCCTTGGTTGCATTAACTTTTCTTTCTTTTTTCTAATTGCTGTGGCATAATATTTCTGTGTGAATGAATCAAAATTTCCAGTCATTAGTTTTGTTTTAGTAATGATATGCTATAGTTTCATTAAAGTCATTGTCCTGAGTTTGCATGACTTCTGTGGTTGGTTGAGATATTAACACCATGACATGGATGGAAATTCCAAAAGCATAAGGCATGTAATAAGTGGTGAAGATAGTGATGATTTTGTTTTAGCAGACTTGGACAATCAAGGAGGAGGAGAAGAAGAAGAGGAAGAGGAAGGGGAAGGGGAGGATGATGAAGAAGAAAAGGAGAAAGAAGAAGAGGAGAAAGAAGAAGAAGAGGAGGAGCAAGAAGAAGAGGAAGAAGAGGAGGAGCAAGAAGAAGAGGAAGAACAGGAAGAAGAGGAGGAGCAAGAAGAAGAAGAAGAAGAAGGCAATCCAGAAAGAAGCAAGAGTGAAGGGTTAGTTCTTCTTGCACTTTATAAATTGTTTCATTCTTTCTTTATCTGGATGATTAAGTTCTGGAGAAAACATGGGAGATGCATTTAACATGCAGGCATTCTATATCTAGTATAGAGAACTGTTGCTTAAAGTTTTATGGTTGCTGTTGTCAATGATTATAAATGAAACTATTCTAGGTCATCCAAGGTTGTTAACAATGTCAAGAAAAAAGGAGGTGGCTTCACTAAACTGTGTAGCCTTTCTCCACAGCTTCAGGCATTTATTGGAGAGCCTGAATTGGCCAGAACTGAGGTGCATTTTCAATAATTCTTCCTTGTTAGTTTATATTATGGAAGATTAACTTTTTGGAATGATAATTAGTACTAATTATTTATTGAAAAGTCTTCTAGGTTGTCAAGAGACTGTGGGCCTATATCCGAGAGAAGAGTTTACAAGATCCAAAGAATAAGAGAAAAATAATATGCAATGAAGAATTGCAGGCTCTTTTCCGTGTAAAGTCTATCAATATGTTTCAAATGAATAAAGCTCTCAGCAGACATATATGGCCATTGAGTGAGCAAGATGGTATTCCCTTAAACTGTTTTTGTGTGTGTGTGTGTGTTAAAAAAAAATTTATCTGCAAATGAGACTTGGAATCTTGTAAGTATTATCCCCCTTAATTTTCCACCTTACATACCAGCATAAGGGGACCTAAGTTATGTTGAAAGTGGAGTGTGGCTCTGTTGCCATGAATCTTTTTCTCAATGCACTTAAGTTGGGCCAATAAATTTAAGGCTTATGGTGATTGTATCCCAAGCTTAAGACAAGATGAATAATGTGTATGGAGAAACTGTTTATAGCAGTGCTTCTAACGGACACCTTAACTCCATATGCAGACTTGATGCTTTGTCTTGAAGTGCCCATAGATATCTCATGCCCTTAAGCGTCCTTTTTTATATTTAAGGGCTTTGGTTTCCTTTTCTTTTTTCTATTTATCAAATGATCTAATTTTTTTTATGGAAAATGTGTGTGATATAATATGATATTCATCAACAGAACATCTGCTAGCAAAAGAAAATACAGAACATCCAACTTGGCTGTTAGAAAATGATGATCTGAGAATTTTGTTGGTCTTGAAGTTTTGCATTTTTACTATTTCTCTTGCTTCTTTTTATCCCATTTACATTACCGCTTGGTTGCTCTGTTATCTTCTTTATAGAAAGTTGGTTCTAATTTCCCTGAATTTGGCAGCTCCAGCTAACTCAGGAAAAATGAAAGGGCAGACCAAGCAAGAAAGAAAGCAAAGTGAGTAAATTTCAAGTTATGAACTATCAACTTGCTAGGTCCTATATAATTTTGGTGATGGAGAATGTTAATGCTTATGGATTGATGATGAAGTTTATTTCTCTTATGATAGTAGGTTCAAAAAAGAGAAAAAAAAGATGGTAGGTTGATTGTAAATCTAACATTTCATTACTATGCAGGTCTTCATGAGCCGAAGCTGAAAAAGCGACAGAAGACAGGAGGTTCTGGCTTTCTGGCCCCCCTTCCACTGTCAAATGCACTAGTGAAATTTTTTGGTACAGGTGAAAATGCATTATCTCGTGGTGCTGTTGTAAAGAGAATGTGGGACTACATAAAGCAGAATGATCTGCAGGTTTGCCATTTACCTTTTCTGTTCCATTGTTTAGCCAATTTTGTTGCTTCCAATGATTTTGATTTCTGTTTATAAAAACCATTTCCTCTTTCAAATAGTACGTGTTTAATAAACTGGTTTGATATTATGTAACTTGAGTTCTCTTAGCAGCTAAATTAATGAGTACTTATGCTGGTTGAGCAGCCACCCAATTATTTTCAGCATCATGTTCAACTTGCATCTTCAAAGTTTGATATTAAGCTTTGGCCAAGTTTATAACCATCTGGTCTGTTGGATGCTTCCATCCCACAAACTTTCCTACCATGCCTAGCTTGTGATATTAAACTTTTTTCCCCACCAAGCTTCATGGTTCTTTTGAAGTATGTCCAGTTTGCTTTGCAAGGATCATTTGTGAAGCCATAGTTACTTACTCTAGCTTTTTTTCTTACCTTTCTCTTTTAAATAAAGCTTCATCATATATCTGCTAAACTAATCCATTGTGGTACAGATGCATTTTGTAACTCTGCTGTCCATCTTCATGTTTCTTCATTATTTTTTAGGATTGAAATATTGCAAATTTATAGCATTTGGATTTTTTGCTTATGGTTTTTGTGTGTTTTTAAAGGATCCATCCAATAAAAGGAGAATTTTATGTGATGATAAGCTAAAGGAACTCTTTGACGTAGACTCCTTTAATGGCTTCTCGGTCTCAAAGCTTCTGGCTGCTCATTTCATCAAGACATAACAGTGAGTTCCTTTTCTGTATAGAAACGAGCCCGTTATTTGAGGGATGTTTTGCTTGGAGATCAAGTTAGTTTTTTCATTGTATCCAGTAATTTTGTATGATACTAAAATATCTAAGGAATGGAAGCAGAATTTTGAGAAATTATTGATTAGTGCTACTTGTACTTTCACATAGCATTGTATGCTTTTGTTAGCCTTTCCTGTTTTACTTTTTGTTCTTCCTGTTTTACTTTTCTCGCCACTTTGGGTTTTTGAGAAGTTGCTCTTTCTGTTACTTCTTTTTCAACCCTTTGGGTCAATTGAAGGGCAGGGCAGGAAGAAAAAGGTTCAGAGGGGGGATTTACCTTCTTTACATGATTTGGACAGAGGGCACCACTTCATATTTTACGCGAACAACTGGAAAGTAGAAAGATAATATGTGGCCATCTAGAAAGCAGTTTTGTTGTGCATTCTGGCCCTTTCATGGACCATTAAGGTCAAGAAAACTTTCATAGCTTGTTTGATCCATCGAATGGGCTTTAGTCACTTAGCAGAGCTAGATGTAATAACTTACATCATGAATACAATGTGACAGTGTTTTCTACTAAGGTTTTAGTGCTGGCATCATACTTGTATGCCATTGGAGGTTTTGCAATTATTCAAGGTATTATACCGAGCAAGTTATCAAAACAATTGGTGTTCGATCAAAGATTACTGTTGTTCAAATCTTAGCGCCTTTGAAGTTGAAAAATAATGTGTGGGGAATCTTAATATAGGGACCACACATAACAGAACATGCATTTACATGTACCTTCCAATTCCATGCATGAATGAAGACAAGATAAGCGATTAGAACAGTACTATTTCCAATTAGTCTAAGCTCATGGAGTAATCTCTATCTTGTATTTATTCTTCTGGTGGATGGGGTACCAATTCAGGGGAAAATGAGAATTAGTTTGTCGTAATGAGGAATTGGGGGTTAACATAAGCAGGAAGTAATTCCCTCTGTTTCTTGCATTTTCCCAAAAATTGCTCTTATACGCTGCAACTTCTTTGGCCATTTACAAAACATGCTGGTTGATTAATTGGATTCTTGTAGCAATATGCACGTGCAGTAGTTGTTAAATTTTGTATGCGTTCACCCATGTGCATTCAATTGTCTTGCTCACTGGCTGCATTTTATGTCATATAGCTTCATTGTGTATCAGTGTGCACCTGTGCTTCTTCACATGCAGTGTCCTTTGCCCAGATGGAAGAACTAGGAACGTGTCCTACCGTCTATCTGCTTAAATACACCATAGTTGAATGCTTAGAATTGTATATCTTTGAAACTGATGATATCTAGAAGTTAGCATTTAGTAAGACAGGGGACATCCATTGTTTTCAAATATTCGTTTCACAGGTGGGAAAGGAAGAAACCGTTTCCCTTTTGTTGAAAAAGAAGGTTTAGTTGAAGTCTGCAAGTATTTAAATTTTATAGATAAGCATGTACCACTTTTCTACCTAGCCTTTTTATATTGGATGGTGGGAAAATATTGACCCTCAAAATCCATGATTTCATCTTTGGAGATATTTGAAGTAGTGGCCAAACACCCTCTCTGATTGTTTGAAAATTATGCTAATCCTTTTCCTTTTGTTTCAAAGTTGAAACCCAAGATTTTCAACTCAAAATTACCTACATGTATAACCGATTATTTCCTATGGATGTTTAGATCTTGTGTTCTGTATTGTACTGTAGATTTGAAGATCTTTGAGGGATACATTTAGAAAGGAAAGTAGAAAATAATAATAATAATAATCGACCAACGGGAAGAAATGAAAGTATGAAACCGAAATGAGAATTGAAAAAAGGTATGAATTTGACTGATTTTTTTATTTATAAATGTAAATTTAAAAAATTTTAAAATCAGATAACAAGCTTTTAATTTTTTAAATAAAAATACAAATGATTTTGTTATTATAAAAAATATAAAATATAAATTTTGTATCTTTTTTTATAAAAAATATTTACTACATAATTTAAAATTAAAATCCTATGGTATACTCAATTTTATTTTTATTTTTTATTTTTTTTGAACAAGAGTACATGAGGCGGGTAGAACCCTGCTCGGGGGTGAGGAGAATGCATCATGTGGTCAGAGACCACTTGACCCGGCCAAATGCGGTATACTCAATTTTATTACAAACTGTAACATTTGAATTTTTAATAAAAGAAAAGGACGGCACAATATAAAAAAACCTTCCCTTTTTAATAATTGTGATGTTACATTTGGTTATGATATTACAATTCGTACAAAATAGACTAACATAATTTTTTAAATTTAAAATTTTAAAAAGCTTATACTTTTAAATTAAAAAAAAAAAATTTGACAAGATTCAAATTCGTATATGCAACTTTTTTTCGATGGGAATTACATTGAAAGACGCTTTATATTTGTTTGGGCGGAAATTAGATTGATCGGAAATACTGTTGTAGGAAAGAAAAGCAAATAACCACAAAACGACAGTGAAGGAGACAAAGGGACGAATCTCTTGATGACTGGGGCTCACCAATATTCGACATGTTAGAAGCACTACCGTTCATATGCGGCGAACCGATTCTTTGGTTTCTCCACATCATTGATTTTGCCACGTCCATCAAAGATGTACAGTGATTAATTGTTTAAACCTCTTTTATATTAGCCTGTTTAATTAAAGATTAATTTTTTTTGGAGAAGTTTTTAAGGTTCAATCGGTTAGAAAATTAATTTTATTAGTAAATTTTTTTATTAAAAGAGTAGTTAAAAAAGTATTGTATAAGTATTATATAGGAACTTAATAAATTTTGTAATGAAATTTTATTGCAATTTTATTGGGTTATTATTTTTTATATTTGATAAAAAATTAGTATAGAGACTGTTAATAAGAAAATGATTAAATAAATATTAGATAGGGAATGTTGAAGGAAAAACTTTTCTTTCTTTTTTTTTTTCAAAAAGTGTGAAAAAAAATGTTTACAAATTTGAAATTGTGTCCAAAAAAAAATTGTAAAAGTGACATTTTTAACTTTTAATGGATGTATCAACCCTTTTTTTACCATATTTGTTGTGGTATTAATGTATAAAAATAAGTAAATAACTTTCCAAAGATGAAAGTTTAAAAGAATTTTAGGATGAAAAATGGCTTGGCAACCAAATAACCCTTTAATGGGAAAGTGGTTGAAAAGAAATTAGTATGTGGAAAATTATTAAGTTTTGTAACAAGTTTTGTTAGAATTTTATAGAATTGTTAATTTTGTTATATTTGATAAAAAATTGATATAGAAAAAGTTAATAGAGAAAATTGTTAAATGAGAGAAAGTTATAGGAAAAAATTTTTTATTAAAAGAAGTGGGGCGAAAAATTTTTACGTGTTAGGAATTATGTTAGAAAAATAAAATTAAAAATAATAATTATCAATTTACTAAAATAAAATTTGAAAATAAATATTCTAAATTTATTATTTTATAAAATTATTTAGATTATATAATAAATAATTATTATTATCACTATCAGTTCGAATATTGACCATATGCTATGTTTGAGGTTGGGTGCTAA